CGCGCTGGGGCGGAGGCGGGCCGGGGCAGGAGGGGAGCGGGAGGGCGCGCGGGAACGCGCAGGGCCGCGGGGAGCCTCCTCTGGTCTCGGTACCCTGCTCGGATGGTCAAGGCCAGGGTCGTCCTCAGAAGAAAGGCGCCAGCGGACCTGTCGGGGCAGAGAACCCAAACCCTTAGACAGGGAAGTGAAGCTGTGTGGGGACGAGGCGCGGGGAGCAGGTCCCTGCGGCGCTCTGGCCCCCTCCCTGGAGGCCACCGTCTTGGTCCCGCGCATTGCCACCCCCTCTCCCTGAACGGCACAACAGGTCCCAGGGACCGCCAGGGCCACTGGGCAGGGCATCCCTGAAGGCTCCCGGGCGGCGCGCGCCGGGGGTGCGGTCAGGTAAGGGACCCGCGATTCTGCGGGGCCTCAGCAATAATGACATGGTCGGCGACCCTCAGAGACGCGGTCAACGCCGCCCCCGACCGTTTCAGCCCAAGGCAGAGAAGGGCACAAGACAGAGGCAAAAAAATTTTTTAAAAAATCCACTGAGGCTTAACCGCTTTAATTTCAGCGGCATTTTCTTTAAAGTCACACCGAGAGACCTTTTCCCCTTCCCTGCTTTCCTTTTCAACCTCTATTTCTCCAACCCAGAGTTGTTTCGGTTTTTTTTTTTTAAGCAATCCATTTGGTGAAGATCTTATCCGTTTTCCACCCAAAGAACAAATCCCCAGGAAGCTCCTTGGGCTGAATAAGATTAAGGGGCAGGGGAGTCGGGGTGAGAAAAAAAAATACAGAAAAGAGAGAGAAATCCTAAAACCAAACATCTATACCCAACGCCTCCCCGCCCGCCCCCCGCCCCTGCCAGCAGCGAGCCCCGTTGGCGGAGCCCCTCGGATCCCTCTCCTGGCGCAGGACCAGAGGATTCCAGCGGTGGGAGCCCCGAGCTCGGCTTATCATGCAGCTTCGGTTTGCAGACCCCGGGCTCTTTCTCTCCCGGCCAGGAGGCAGCCCCTGCAGCCTTCTGCCAACTTACGCGCCGTTTGCACTTCTACCCGGGCGCCTTCTTCCCCCGCTAAACTGGACAGATCATCTCAATACCCAGTCGAGAAACAAAAAGAAAAGAAACCTCTCCCCTCCCCGCCCACAGGCTCCGAACAACTCCTCCGATAGTCTTAGACAGTCTTTCTAAGAAGAGGGAAGTTGTTCCTCCATGGGCTGCTCTCTCCTCAGCCCCTGCACAAAATGATTTCGATATTCTCTCCCGCTCGCTCGCTCTCCGCCCAGACGCAGAACCGCGACGGTCCTCATTGAAATATATGCACGAAGGCAACTAACGCGCGGACAGTGGAGGGCAGGGGCGGGTTTGGTTACCTGGAACGTCCATGATGAGCGAGCACCGCCGTCCGCGAAGTTGTTCTGCTTGGAGAAGATGAGCGGGAGCTGGCGGGAGGAGACACCGAGCGCGACCCTTCTCCCCGCGCGTGGCCAATAACCGCGCCGCCCCGCCCTGCCGCTTTCCCGCGCCGGCCCGCGCCCCGCACCCGCGTGCACCGCGCCGCGCCCGGGACCCGCGCCGCGTCCGCCCCGCGCTTCGCACCGGTACGTACCGCGCCCTGCTCCGCCCCGCGTCCCGCACCGGGTCTGCACCGCACCGGGGCCCGCAGCCTCGGAGGGGCCCTCGCGTGCGGCACGCACCCTGCTGCTGGTCTCCGCCGGACCCCTCCGCCCCGGCCTCTCCTCCGGGCTCCTGACCGCACAGCCAAGCGCCACGGACGCCCTGAGGACTCCGCGCTGCCCCCTCCCGGCCCCGTCCCCCGCGCCCCGCACCCGCGCCTCCCCTGCACCGCCAGGTCCAGCTCTCACCCAAACACCCAGAGACAAATACTCCCAGATGCCTCTTTTAAAAATTAGGCAACCGCAAAAGCGCCGGTCGCCCCTCTTCTTTTGGATTCTTTCCTTTTCCAAATTCCTTCCAAGTCTTAATCCTGAATAGCGTGATCACTTTCATAATTAGTGGGTAAAGCAATTTTCTTAAAAAAAAAAAAAAAGAGGACTGGGATGGAGAGAAAAATCTTGGGCTCTTAATGGTGTAAATGCTGTGGTTCCGGGATCTCCAGATTGGGAAATGTCAGGTTTGGGCAGGAATTGAAGAGGTGTCTCCGCCTGGGTTTCTGTGTGTGCTCCTCTGAACCTCGGGGCTGGTGGAGCGCGTTGGCACCCGCGCTTATTTATTAAAATGCCTGCTCTGAGCTCTAACGACCTGGGGAGACGCGCCGGGTTTCCGAGCTGCGCCCAGAGCGCGGGGGAGAAGCGCAGGCACGGGCGTGGGGCGCCACCTACGGGCGCCTGGGCGTCCCTGCCGCAGGCTGCGGGCGAGCGGGCTCCGGCGGCGGAGAGTGGGGGTGAGGGTGAGGTTTGCTGATGGTCTTCTGGGACCAGCCCCCCAAGCAGTTTTGGCCTCTGCCAAAAAAAAAAAAAAAAAAAGTAACAGCAGCAAACGATCTTTCCGGTATCCTGCAGTATCCTGCCCCTGGGAAAATGGAGCCGTACCCTGGAATTTGCAGCCTTCACTGTCGGAACTCACAAGTCGGCTAGGATGATTTATGCTGCAGTGGGGTGATCGTCGCTTATCACGGCCTTCAGAACCTCCGCGCGCACCCCTGGGCTCTGCACAGTCCATGCCGCCCTTAAACAAAGACAGTATTTAAATAGGCACTCTCTTTATAACCCAAACTTCTAAGCGTCGTTAAAAAAATTCTTAGTCCTTCGGCTTCGGCTTGCTTAGGATGGCTTTGCTGATAGGCTGTTCAGAAATAAACCGTAAGTGGGCCAATGCTATTCAGAAGAGCGGAGCGAAAGCATTTCTCCTTCCTCCAGACTTCACACCTAACCCTCTTTCTTTTGGAGATTTCAGCCAGAGTTCTGGTTTCACCCCCATAACGTGGGTCTTTTCAGGTAGGGGGTTTTCGAGGCCTTGTTTCCTATAGGCTGTCGCAGGGATCCCCAGCCAGAACTGCCAGGGCCTCATCCCTCAGCGCTGGGGATGAAATTGACTTCAAATCAGTTCAGCAGAAACGGACGCGGAGGGAGACGGGGCAGCGTGAAAGCGGCACCGCACATCATTGCCTGAGACAAGATATTCAGGATGATAGTAAAAATGTGACTAAGAGAACTTCTGAGCCAAATGTTTTCTACCTAACATGCAAAATAGAACAAAACATAAAACAGCCCCCAAATCTCTTACTAAGGATATTCGCTGAAAACGAAGTACTTTGCTTCAACGTTTTTGTAACATGCTGGTCAGATAGATGTACTGGACTTTGTCAGGAAACGTTTTCCAAGCCACCATATTTTGTTATCATTTTTTTATGAGTTTAACACAGTGGAAATTGTTAATTCTTATTCCAATCTTGCACCAATTTGACAATGTCTTATTGTCAAAATAAGCACAACCCTACCGTTCCGTCACAGAGAATACTGATTTGTGTGCAAACGTTAACAGCAAAGGACTCTTTATCTATGAGAGAAATGTGAGCCTACACTGGTAATTCAACCAATTTGGCTATGCTAGGTAGGTGCCAATACCTCTCACGCCCCCATACAGCTTTAAATGACGGCTCTGTTAAGCAATTCTTAAATATTATGCTACAAGCATTTATTTTGACTAATGCAAATGCAAACACACATGATCATCACCTTTGGGGGGGGCTCTTCTATGTGGCGACAAACATGATTAAATTATATAAAAATAAACTTTTCATCTGTATAGTGGACTTAATTATGGAATTAGAGCAATAAACAGCCTTACATAGTGGGAAAAACAGGTTAGGTTTAAATTCAGGCTTGAGATTATTTTTAGAAGGAAGTTAGCAATTGTGAAAAGTAGCACATTGATAGAGAAAAGGAACCTTATTTATTCACTGATTAAATGATTGCTCTATTGATGAGGGGACACTTAGGTTGTCTCTTTGTGCTGGCATTTTAGCCCATAAACACGCTGAGAAAGAATTTCAGAATAGAACTCAGATTTAAAAAAGAACATGTTTTCTAATTGTTACAGAGGATGCTTGTGGCCATTACTACTAAAACAGTAGACTCCATGCCCTTAAATGCACAGACATCCGCATAGACAATAAAAACAAGTTGGTAACTCATTGAGCATCTGTTTTGTGTTAGGTAGTGCACCATTTCCTTTATCTAGGAGATAACATACAATTTATTACCCACGATGCCCCTGTAATAGGCAGATGGTCACACAGAGCCTAAGAGGAAAGTATTACATTGTTTAAAAAAAAAAAAGTGGGACAGGGAGGCTAATATAATTCAAAATCCCTTTCTTTCATTTGTTCTAAATATTTCTCTTTAACAGGGCTTACATTTGCTTTCCGTGAATAGAATTCATCACTGAAAAACACCTTTAGCATGCAGTCTAGTCATTTCTTGCTTACTTAAACTAATGCATAATATTCGTGATTTTATCCTAAGTAAATATGTGATAAGTCTAATATGCTATATATTTCACAGTGTTGGATGTGAAAGCCATATATGTACTTTGAAACATAAATATATAAGCATTTATAAGCCAAAATAATTTTTATTTTAACTTTTTTGAGGAATAATTGACAAATATAATTGCATATATTTAAAATGTACAATGTGATAATTGGATATACAAATACATTGTGGAATGATTACCAATATCAGGATAAATTAATGTATCCGTCATTTCACATAGATAACACAGTTAACTCTTTGTGTGATGAGAATGCTTAAGATCTCCTTTCAGCAACTTTCAAGTATACAGTGCCTATGTGGCTATGGTCACCTGCTGTAAGTTAGAGCCACAGAACTTATAACTGAAAATGTCTACCCTTTGACCTACATCACCTCCCCTCCTGTCCCCCCAGGACCTGGCAGCCACCATTCTATTCTGTTTCCATGAAATCCGCCTTTTTGTTTGTTTGTTTGTTTTTAAGATTCCACATATAAGTACATCATATAGTTTTGCCTTCCATTATCTGGCTTATTTCAGTTAGCATAATGTCCTTCAGAATCATCCATTTTGTCACAAATGGCAATTTTTCCTTCTTTTTACAGCTGAATAATATTCCATTGTGTATAATTATCACATTTTCTCTCTCAACTCATCTGTTGGACACTTAGGCTGCTTCCATATTTTGACTGTTGTGGATAATGCTGCAGTGAACATGGGGGTGCAGATATCTCTTTGAGAGACTCATTTCATTTTATTTAGATATATACCCAGGAGTGGGATTGCTGGATCACATGGTAGTTCTATTTTTACTTACTTTAGTAAAAATATAATTTTCTAAAATTATTAGTAAATATATTTCCAATATGCGGTAACACTATTGCAAAAAAAATTACTAACATGTGGAAAATAATAATTCTAAATATTGTATATTTCTTAAGTCATACGTGCTACATTGTTAAAATACGCGTATTTGTATTTCTCAGGGAAATAAAAACATATTGAAGTGCATATCAATTTAAAGATATATAATAACAGTGAAAAGTGTAACTATTCAATGTTATGCAGGCATTTTAATGAATTACCAACATAAGAAAAAAAATCTTTAAAAATTTAAACCAGTTGTAATTCAGTTCAACAGAAAGACCAAGAAAAGTTTGTCTATATAAGCAACTTCTTTATAATTTTTGACTGAAATTACTAAATAGTCATCATAATCTGGTCAAATTGGCTAAAAAATTGGTTGACTGTTAGAAATCCCAGATTAGCTGAACTCACATCAATCAAGACCATTTGTATGACATGGTCCTATTACACTGAACAGCTTCCCTCTGCCACTGGAAGGGCACACTGAACTCTGTTCAAAGGCCAAATACCAGCTATTTTTTTCCTGACAACATTTCAACATTCAGTAAAAATTTTTCAAAAATCTGATTTTTAAGTTTCGCTTTTATTAGCAAACTGATAAAACAGGGAGCAGCCTTTGGTCACAACAAGATACTGTTTCTCCAGTGTTACAAAATGAACATATTAGATTATAAAAGGATACTTTTTATTGTTCTAGAATGCCTCTTAAACTTAAAAAATTGTCTAGCTATCTATTTGGGGTAAATATTAGGGTGTATGAGACTTTATAAGACAAAGGTATTGAAAATATACAAAGTAATCTTTCTTGTTCCACCAGTGCTTCATGTTACTGAGTCTTAACAAGGCATATCTTAAAATTAGTATGTAAGGCAGATTAGTCACTTAATGGACTTCTAATATTTGAAATATGATACACCAGCAGACACAGAAACTATTGGCTGGAAGAGAAACAATCTATCTTTATTCTTTTCAGCTACGTCTCACTGTCTTACATAAAACTAATATCTAATTTCTTCCATTTTATGGTAGGAGTTGTCTCCACTGCTTTCCCAAATTGGGTCAAGTGCCTCATGTGAGTCACTAATCCTATCAGAACTAAAGTCTCCATAAACAAGGACGCCTTTTGTCAACTCCTATTTCTCAATGAAAGATAGATAGTATTGCTACACGAAACTTTCTCCTGCAAACTCTTGCTAAAAAAAATTCCATTGGCCCAGAAGTTAGCAAAGAACCATTCATATGTAGCTAAAGCATTTCCTGAGTTTTATTTAGAAGCTCTTTCTGGTAGTATAATTGTGTGACTTTCCTTTTGGAATGAGCTACATGTGTATTTTCAAGGCTCTGGACTCAGAACACTTTGAATGTATATAATCGATATACATCACATATTTTTACCTGGAAACCAATTTTAAAATTGTAACATTCATGATTTAAGGGAGAAACAAAACTGGTTGTTCTCTTGTGCTTTCAGAAATTTTCTGAGGTGATAGGTCGCTATGTATTTCCCTCTCAGATGTTCCCCATAAGGATAAATCAGAAAAGCATGTTATATTTGTAGTTGTTCAATAGGGCTTTAAGTTCAAAAGTTCCGCAACTATCTGTAAACACTTATAAGAATACTTGGCATATAACCCTTTTGGCTTTCAGAAGTGTGTTTTATTTTCAAACTGTCATTTAAGGTAGAGGCTATTTGTTCTTAACAGAGGGCACACTCACGTCCTCAAAAAGCAACAAATCATAGAATATGATGAAATTAAAGAGTGAAAAGTTGGGAAATTTAGGAAAGAAG